TGGGGAGAAGGAAAGACCACCATAAGAGACTGGGGCGTGGAAAAAAACCAGGGAGGCTCACCATGTGGAAACCCCGTTGTCACTGCACTGAATTGACAGGTGCAGCAGCAATGAGAAAACCAAAGTATCCTCACTGTGTGGAAGGAAGTTTTATTATTTATTTTATTTATTTATTCAGTTTGTATCCCGCCCTCCCCACCATGTTGGCTGGTTACTGATACAGGAGCTCACTCTTTGGTGGAGCATATCAAGTTTGCTTCTCCTCTCCCAATTTTGGCTGATCCTATGCACTGTAGTTCAGTTGTTTTTTTAAGTTCCTAGTCAATAGTTTGATTTTTTAAAGTGGAATAAAAAACAGGTTACTCCGTTTAAAGCAGTATTCCTTAAACTATCTGGAAAACCCTGGGGTATTCAAATCAGTGCCTCAGGAGATAAGAACATAAGAATTAATTTATTTATTTATTTATTTATTTATTGTATTTATACCCTGCCTTGCCTGACAAGCAGGCTCAAGGTGGCTAACAGATTAAATAACATAAGAAGTTAAAACAATTAATAAATACAATATCAGTTAAAACAAGTAAACAACAACAATTACAGTACCAACTATGGCGGTAATCCAATCAATCCCTAGCTAGGGGTAGTAACCAGCGGGGACTCTAGCCAGGAGATGGTCTAAGTTTGGCCAGAAGATGTTCCAGGGCACACCACTCAGCAGCGGCCCCTAATCAAACGCCTGGCGGAAGAGCTCCGTTTTACAGGCCCTGTGGAACTGTGTGAGGTCCCGCAGGGCCATGATGTTCTCTGGGAGCCCATTCCACCAGTGTGGGGCCGCCACCGAGAAAGCCCTGGTTCTGGTAGAAGAAGAAGGAGAGATTGGATTTATACCCCGCCCTTCACTACCCAAAGGTGTCTCAGAGTGGCTTACAAACTCCTTTCCCTTCCCCTCCCCACAACAGACACCCTGTGAGGTGGATGGGGCTGAGAGAGTTCTTGACAGAAACTGCTCTTTTTCAAGGATAGCTCTTATCAGAACTACGGCTTGCCCAAGGTCATCCAGCCAGGTACAAGTGGGGGAGTGGGGAATCAAACCTGGTTCTCCCAGATTAGAGTCTGTGCACTTAACCACTGCACCAAACTGGTAGTATTTAGTCTGACTTCTTTCGGACCAGGGAGGTCAACTGGTGTTGCGACCCTGACCTCAGTGCTCTCTGGGGTTCGTATGGGGAGAGGCGGTCCCTCAGGTGCTCAAGAAGACCGCTCAAGAAGAGCCCTGATGGATCAGACCATTGGTCCATCTAGTCTAGCATCTTGTCTCACAAAGTGGCCAACCAGTTTCTCTGGAAGTCCAATAACGGGACATAGAGGCCAAGGCCTTCCCCTGATGTTGCCTCCTAGCACTGGCATTCAGAGGTTTATTGCCTCTGAACATGGAAGTTCCCATTAGTCACCAGGTTCCTTTTGATATCTTGACTAGTAGCCACTGAGACCTCTCCTCTATGAACCTGTCTAATCCCCTCTTAAAGCTGTGTATGCCTGTGGCCATCACTACATCCTCTGGCAGTGAATGAGTGTAATGATTGGGCAGGCTTGTAAGGGGGTAGGTGGTCCTTCAGGTATGTTAGTCCCAAGCTGTGTAGGGCTTTAAAGGTCAGCACCAGCACCTTAAATTGTGTGCCTGGAAACTGACTCAGAGCCAGTGTAGGTAGGCCAAGACGGGAGTGATATGACCCCTACAACCCACTCCAGTCAACATTCTGGCTGCTGCATTCTGGAATGGGGGCAGGCACTCTCTTCCCTGGCCCGTAGTTACGGTGGGGCTATTAGGGGCTCTGCCCGCTTCCTTAAAGGGCCCTCCCGCTTCTTAACATAGTTATGATCTTTGTGCTACATTTCAACTGCCATGGACACAAATGGTAGAAAACAGTGTATATTGAATAAACTGTAGTTATTAAAAGATATTTGGGGAAATAAAAGTGTCTTGTTCTAAAATGGAAGAAAGTTGGAAAAAACACCTATTTCCCTTTTTTCGCCCCTTTGGTTTTATATCTCTTCCTCTGTGTGCTATACTGTTGGTTGTGTTGTCTGCATTTATTGTACCATTAACTACACTAATAGTGTCTACTGCAGAATCTTTGGTATGAGCTTGCATGTCTTGTGTCAAGTGTTTTCTCTTGTTCCAAATATAATCTGACCAATACAGACTTGACAGTTCAGTTTTATCCCATAAAGTGCTACCAGCTTCCAAATCCTGCTGCTGTTCTGGAATGATCCTTTCACCTCTCCTTCATACATTTCAAACAAATTTCTGGTGTAGTTGGACGGGGCCAGGGGTCCTTATATGCGTTCGACTTGTATCCCGCTCGAACCCTGAGGGGTCTCTGAGCGGCTTACACAATTTCATTTATCCCTATCTATGGCCACATCGTCAGGGGTGGGGACTGCCCTACCAGCACCCAATGGTGGGACTCGCTGTTCTTCGGCTTGGCTTCAGCTCGGCCTGGCTCTTCTTCTTCCGGTGGCCTTCGGAGTCTGCAGTTTTTTCCGGCGGGCCCATCTGGCGCATGGTTCGCATCAGCCCGGCTCTGGCTATGTCCTTTAGGCTCCGCCGCGCCTGCGCTGCTACGTTCCTGCGCCTTCTGGCTCTGCCTCCGCCGTCATCCGATCCACCGCTGATGTTGCGCCTCCTTGCCATCACTGCTCGCCACTTCACTCTGCCACCGCCGATGCCCCCACCGAGCCTCACAACGGAGGGGGGGTGCCCCCTGCTACCTAGGGCAGGTACCCATTTATCTACTCGCTTGCTGTTATTTTTGCTTTCGAACTGCTGGGTGGGCAGGAGCTGGGACTAGGGCCGGGAGCTCACTCCGGCCACGGTGGGACTCGAACAGCCATCATGGCTGTTCTTTTTTGTTATTACGGCAGGCATTTACTGCCTGCGCCACCGCTCCCTAGAGGAAAGTACAATGCTAATTCCACATTTCTCTTGAAGAAGAGAGCTCCCTAAACACATGGAGAGTTTACACTGACTTTCTGTTCTCCCTGTCTAAGAACCTAGGCCAGTCCTTAGTAATGTTATAAAGAGTCAGATCAGTGTTCACTTTTGTTCAGAACTGTCTGCTTGGTCAGAGCTAATATTCAAGGTCTTTTCTAGCACATGTTTCCTGAGATCTTTCAAAGGAGGGGTATTAAACCTGGGATCTTTTGCATGCAAAAGATATGCTCTTCTTCTGAGTGTATATGAAATTGTATGTCTATATGTTCTGCCATTGACCTGTCTGACAGTCATCACATCAAAAGAACCCCAGTATGACTGAGTTCATTTGGTGTAGTGAAACAGATATTTTGTACAGTGATGTTAAAGGGAGAATAGAAGTATAAAGGCTATATATATAGTTGCTGTAGATTTTCCGGGTTGTGTGGCCATGGTCTTGGCATTGTAGAACCTGACATTTCGCCAGTAGCTGTGACTGGCATCCTCAGAGGTATAACATAGAAAGATGGAGTACACTCTGTGTCAAGGTGAGAAGAAAAATGGTAGGCAGGTAATTTATATCTACTCCAGAAGGTGGGGTAGGGCTGAGTCATTATCTTGTAGGAGTTCCCCAGGCTATGAACATGCTAATGGAGGAGCTTTCCTGATGAGGAGGAGAAGAAGAAGAGATTGGATTTATCCCCCGCCCTTCACTACCCAAAGGTGTCTCAGAGCGGCTTACAAACTCCTTTTCCTTCCCCTCCCCACAACAGGCACCCTGTGAGGTAGGTGGGGCTGAGAGAGCTCTTGACAGAAACTGCTCTTTTTCAAGGATAGCTCTTATCAGAACTACGGCTTGCCCAAGGACATCCAGCCAGGTGCAAGTGGAGGAGTGGGGAATCAAACCTGGTTCTTCCAGATTAGAGTCCACGCACTTAACCACTACACCAAACTGGCTCTTTTGTATATGGATTGTTTCCTGAGGAGGTTTAAGAAGGACTCCAGTATTAGAATATATGGTGGCACAAAGTTTTCTCCCTTCAAACCAAATATATCAAAAATGGTTTTATCTATAAGTAATACTTGATTAACCAGTTTATAATATACTGCAGCTCATTACAGCTCATGACTACTCGTTATAGGTCAGTTAAGCATAGAAGAAGTTGCTCTTTTCTATAGTTTCCTGTTTAACTTGTTTTTCAATGTCTGTCGTATACTGTTTTTACACTGTATTTACACTACATTTTAATCTGTAATGCCTGAACAATATGCAATAAAAATGATTTTTAAAAAAAGAAATAAATGTCACTTTGTCGGGCTGGGCAATGTGTGGCATAAAAAGTAATGCCAAGTTCCAGGGCTCTTTTTGTAGCAGGAACTCCTTTGCATATTAGGCCACACCCCCTAATGTAGCCAATCCTCCGAGAGCTTACAGAGCTCTTCTTACAGGGGCTACTGTAAACTCTTGGAGGATTGGCTACATTAGGGGTGTGTCGCTTAATATGCAAAGGAGTTCCTGCTACAAAAAGAGCCCTGCGAAGTACTGGAAATACAAACTGTATAAAGGACAGTGGCTGGTAATCTCCAAATTGGTGTATCCTCACTGCAAAGCCTCATGGTCTGGGAGGGGGGTGCAAAGGAAAACCCATGTGGGCGGACTGGAGAGCGAGCAGTGTAGCCCTGGGCAGATGCTCCCGTGCTGCTTGACTGCTGCAGACGAGGTTGTTCCACTGAAGCCACAATCAGAGTGGCTCTACACACTCCCCCCCCAAACAGCCTCCTGTTCCCTCCCTTGTACTAGTTGCTTGAGGGGCCGCATAAGAGCCCTAGATGGGCTGGTCCCGTTCCCCGGGCCTTGTGTTTGACACCCCTGTGATAGAGCATCAGATCTGATATTTCCCACTTTGTATTATATTTCATTTCCATTATTGGAGCTTGTGGCAAACATGTTGACTTCTGTATATTACCGTGCAGAATTGGAATCCTAGTGATAAAATGGTGTCATCATTGCCCCCCCCCCTTACAGATGCCACCTCAAATGAACAGCAAGACCTCTTTTGTCAGAAGCTGCAGCAGTGTTGTGTATTGTTTGATTTCATGGACTCTGTCTCGGACTTGAGGAGCAAAGAAATTAAAAGAGCAACACTGAATGAACTGGTGGAATATGTTTCAACAAATCGTGGTGTGATTATTGAATCAGCATATTGTGACATAGTGAAAATGGTAAGTAACTAATTGAAGTGATGTGTTCCTTCTTATACCTTTAAAATGAAACTTAATATTGCTTGCTTAACTGAGTCTGTGTTCCAGATTACCTTTCTGTGTTAGAACAATACCTTGGCTGGCACTCTCAACTTAGCTGTCATTAAATTGCAAGAGAACAAAATGGTTATACTCTCGGGCACAGAAACCCAGTAGCTTGTTCACCACTTGCTTTTTTAAATTGAGTGTGATGACTATAGGAAGCAGAGAAGAGCACAGTTTTCTTCCCTTTTCCACTGCTGAGTGAAGGAATGGCGTTACAACTGAAATATCCCCGCTGTAGAAACCTGCTGCAGGGAGGACAGTGTGCAAGTAGGGCTGCCCTAAAGGTCATTTCCCTCCATGTTGGTGAAGAGAAAAGGAGCACGCTGCTGCACTGCTTAACTTGCAGTTGCTGTGGCATAGATGAGTGTGCCCAGCGGGTTGCTTTGCTTCATTTGTTTGCAGTCCTCAGCTCTTTATCTTTCTAGGACTTAAGCCTGTCTCTGGCTTTATAGTATTTCTGTGGGAAGAAGTACATACCTTAGGAAGGATTGTCTCCAACCTCCCTCCCCCAGTTCCTTGTTTGCTTTGCCCTCTAGGCGTTGCATTGGATCCAGGTGTAAAATAGGCAGTGCAAAACAAGGATGAGAGAGCATACAACCATTTTGCCTTATTTTTTATTGTGCCTTTCCTCCGAAGCAATAGGGAAGAGAGAACAAAGTGGAAATGAGGAGGAAGAAGGGAAGCATTGGGATGGAGGAGAAAAAGAGCAAGACGGCTGGAAGTGTCAGTAGAAAGAGGACACTGGGAGGATAAAACTACAGATAAGAAAGATATGGAACCAGGGAATGAGGAATTAAGGGAACAGAATAACTGAGAGTGAGAAATCTGTGGCAAGCTGGTACAGAATTCTGCTGTAGGGAAGTCTGTGTGCAAGCTGTGATTTTCTGAGTGATATGTCTACTGTTAGTTACTTTCACAGCGCTTCAGTTTCAGCTTCTATGGCTTGTAAAAAACTTTGCACATATGTTCATACTTGCAAGTATTTTGGAAATTTTGTGGTAAAAGATTAGGCTCAGGTCTCAGTAGAATGTCCTAGTGTTGCCACATGGTGGTCATTTATTGCATGGAGGAATATTCATGTGTTGGATAAGTAGGGCCCATTCTGCATCTAGCATTCGCGCTGTTGTTTTACCAAACCCACACTGGAACAGAAAAATATGCAGCTCAAAACCACAACGACCATCAAACAGCCATAAATCTATGCAGACAGTACCATAAAACCGAGAGATCAAAGGAAGTGAAACCTGCATGGAGTGTGGAGGCTACCATAAAATCCAACAATCAAAGAAAGTGAAAGTGGCTTGCAATGTAGAGGGGAATTTCTGTTCAGACAAGAGTTTGGTAAAACAGCGGAGCAAATGCTAGATGCAGAATGGGCCTAGATCTTAATGCTGTTGGCATATCTGTTCTTGAGCACAAGTTGTCCTGTAATTCCTGTGGGTGTGGCTACTAAGAATTGAGTTCTTCAGGAAAGATTGGCAAACTTTAAGTTACATTAAACACTAAGACACTTTGTCTCCTGGTATCAGTTACGTTTCAAATGCTCTGTTTCATTTTTCTTTATTGCCCAAATATTTGCAGAGTTCTAAATGAAACTGAGTTATATTCAAATGGCCAAAACTCAGCTTATGTCTATGTTCATCTTAAATACCCATTTCTAGCTGAGTCATGGTGGACTAATGTTGGACTAAGGAACCTGGGGACAAAATGACATTATGCTGTGAACTTCATTAAGTGACCACAGTCACCATGTGTCAGCCCAGCCTACCTCACAATGTTGTTCTGAAAATAAAATTGGGACATGTGTATGGGGGAAACCATGTGCACTTATAAGAAAGGCAGTGTAAAAATGGATAGACCAGCTGCTGAGCCTCATAGCTTACCTCCCAAAAGGTTTGTTGATCTAGAATACAGCGGTTCTTGCTTGATTTCTTCCTGGCCATTGTCTACATTTTTGTGGAGGAAACTGAAGCATATTGTTAAAGGACTAAACCCTAGTTCAGTAGGCAGTATGTGCTGCTAATGGACAACTGCTGAAGTTTGTAAATGGTGTCTTTAATGGCTGTGAGGTTGCATCCATAGTTCAGAGAAATTTTCAGTAGTTTTTTTGACTTTAGTAGCTGTGACCTGGATATGCGCAGAAGTCAGACATGGCTACAGTCCTGGAAAACAGATGCGCAAGTATTACAGCTGATGACAGCTACAAGATATCACAAGGGTAAAGTGTTCAGACAATTAAAATGTTCTTCATGGGGGCAGGGAAGATCTGAACAGTGATAGGTGATATTAGCTAAGAGACCTGGGAAAAATCTTTGATCACCAAGTAACACAATAATTCAAATCATAAAACTACAGATGTCTTGCTTCCAAACACTATTTCACATTTCAGTACTTATGAAAATTAGCAGAATAGATACGGCAGAAACATTTCCAGGATATTCTGCAGCTCATATTGCCTTTTCACAATACCTCAGAAAGACATGTAAATTGAACCGCTGAATTAGGAAGAGAACTTTTAATTGCTTCCAAAGAAAACCTGATTTGGTGGCATTTCAACAACAATAATAAATGCTTCCCTTGCATATAGATATTTGGAATTCAGTTGATTGACTATTCTAGAAACAATTGGCAACCAAATCAGCTTGCCTAGTTGCATTTTCATCTGCTCTCTGACTTCATTATTACACTAGTTTTATTTCTAGGTTAAATAAATTGTATAGGTTTCTGGATTAGTTGACGTCCCTGATTTCCAATGTACACAAGGTTAAATATAGTGTGGTTCACAGTAAAAGTTCTGTCATCTGTTAAAATGCTAGCAAAATGAGCCCTTTAACAGGTTAGAAAATCAAGACCCAAATACTTCATTATGTTGCTGTTTTAACAATAAATTAAGGACTTCTAATTTTAAAATTTACACTACCATTAGCATACAGCAGGATTACTTGCTAGTACTTGGACTTCAAAACTGTGTAGAAAGCGATACTTAATTGGAAATACGGATGTGACATACAACCATCAAAGATGCTAGGGGGAAGTTACAAAGATCTTTTGGGTTCAAGCCATACCATCTGCTGTGCAGTTATGGAATCATTCAAAAATAAAAAGATATAGCCACATGTAGCTGTATTTTTTTAATTCTAGTGTGTTTTCAGCTCCGACTGAAGTTTTATTTTCTTTCTGCTTCAGTCTAATAAAGATTTCGAAATGGGGTTGGTACACTTTCAACCAAAGAATCATGCTGAATTGGTCCAAACCCTTTTTCTGATTTTGTCTACAATTGTGATATTGGGGTGTTATGCTCCAAGTATTTATCTGTTTGTAATCAGAAGTGCCAAAGAATCTTTGTTTCATCATTCTCCATGATGTCTAGTTGGTCCTCCCATGAATTTCTGGCTTGATAGTAAGCCATACTTCTTGGAAAGATTCCAGTGCAACAGAGCTGCAACTCTGTCATGATGTTTTTTCTAGTCAGTCTGAGCAGTTTTACTGCAGGCACTGACCATGTGGAGGACTGTTTCATCCTTTGCCTTGCAAATTCAACATTTGCTACCATCACCGATTTTCTGAATCTTTGCTTTCATACTACTCGTTTTGAGTGCCTGCTCTTGTGCAGCTAGAATGAGTTTTTCAAGTGCCCATTTTGGACCCACTTCCAAGTATTTTCACTATCAACTTTGTTCTCAATGTCTTTCAAGTATTGCCCATGCAAGTGCTTTTCCTTCCAGTTGTCAGTGAGTTTTGATTTTATTAGTAGTAGTAGTGTACTGTTGCCCTCAGATGAGTAGCTGTTGACTGAGGCAAGCTCTTTAAGAAACATGCTTGTTGCATGTATGCAGTACAGTGGGAGATCATTAGGGTATTTTTTTCTCCCCGAATAACTGAGTTCTTCCCTTGGCTTACCCCCCCCCTTCAAACACAAGTACAATCTTCAATTTTGACTGAATGTTTTTGTTTTAGTTTAAAATACAGCCCTCTGATAGGTTTCAAGGTTTAATGGGTCTCAGCCAGCAATTCAAAAGCGGTTTGCAAAGTTATGATGTTGTGTTTTACTAAGTCTCAGTCTTTTTGCCTTAAGGCCTTTTATAAATGTTGTGAAGGGTAATGGTAAGATATGATAGTAAGAATTAGTAACACTAAAAAGGGGGAGTTTGGAGAGGGACTTTTGACTTCTCAAACATACATAGGAGATATTCTTTATCCTATCTGTTTTAGTTATTAGAACACACGGTTGAGCCTTTTGCCTTAAAAATCACCTTAATTTAATTGAGGAACACTTTGGGCAGGAATAATACCCACAAGACAATAGACTGAATATATAGCATCTCAAGGTTCCCCTAAGATACACACCTCTAAGTAACTAGTAACAGGCAATGCGGCAACACAGAAGTTGTTTATGGGGGGCGGGATTAAATTTATATTTGTCAGGTCTTCCATCATACTACATATTTCACTGTTTAAACTAGGGTTGGCACACCAGTAAAATAACTGCTTGTTACTAATTGCTGTCAAGTATTCTGTGAAGCCAAGCTTCCCCCTGTTTCATTATAGTATCATTTGTGAGCAAGGACAGGAGAGAAGGCTATTTGCTTCCGCATCCTGCAGCAGTCACGGACAGCCTAACATCCCTCCCACACACGAGCAAATTACCTTTATCTGTGTGTGTCCCCCCCCTCCCCCTCTTTAGCTTTCCCTTCTTCTTTTCCCCCTGGCAGTTTCTCCCTGGGAAATGCCTGGCCTAGTTGTACAGTGGGAAACTTGAAAGGATTTGTGGAAAGCACTTTACTTTTCCCTGTATCCCTTCCCCACTGTTCCCTATTTCCCTCCTGGTAGCCCCTATATCCTCGCCTTTCCTTGCTTCCTTTTCTCCTTCCCACCCACTAACCAACCTACGTTTTATCTGCCCCTCCAGTTCCCAC